TATAATTTTGTTCTCTTCTTTATACCAGTCTGTATTTCTCAAAACATTTACAGTAGCTGATATAATTTTCATAGTAAGAAAAATGGTTATTGAAGAAGTGGTTATGAGGCCCCACACTAGTTCATTGTAACAGACAGATAGTATGATACAGAAGAAAAATGAAGTCAAATCAAAAAGTTTTGGAATTAAATTTATCTGAGTTTTAAACTTTTTTTTTTTAATTTATTTATTATTTTCACACTTCAAGAATTTGGACAAACCAGATTCTTTTTTTTTAATATTTTTTTTTCTTGAATGCATAAAATTCTTTTGTTACTTCTTTTATAATTTATTTATTTTTATTTACATTTTTTAATACATTCGATCACATTATTTAGCTTACAAGGTGATCGTTTCAATATATAAACATTTTTCCCCAGTCGAGTTGATCAAAATATAACAACACTACCTCCCTGTTTCAACAATGCTGTCTTCGTATCCCTCTTCCAAATGTTTTTCCCCAGGCCCCACTCCTCCACACACACCACATCTGGCATTCACATCCACCTCTTGTGTTTGTACATCCTTTAGCCCATCAGTTTCAGTTATAGACTGTGGACATTCAGTATATATTAAGTGGGGACATACAGTGTCTCTCCTTCATAGCCTGGCTTGCTTCACTCACCAGACCAGATTCTGTTAGACTTGGTACTCTCATTTCTAACATGAGCATAACACCTCAAAGTGCCCTTGTCAGGGCCACCAGACATATAAAGAAATCACCTGGTATGGTGTTGAAGCTATTACAACTGTCACTACTATTAATGCCATTAGGTATAATCAAATCAGCAACAGCAATTTAGCTCTTAGTATGTAGGCGTCTCTGCTTTTTATCTTATAAGCTCCCCTCTCCCCATCATTTAATACAAGAAACCACCAGAGGATGGAACTATTGTTATTTCCATCCTACAGAAGACAACATACATAGAAAATGTCCTTTTCCAAACCAACAGCTAGTAGGTGGCAAATTCTGTGATTCTAGGATCCAAACTCTTAGTGACTAGGCCAGTTCAATGCATTTTAGTTTTCACCATTAACAAAAAATCAATTCAAGATCGATCAAAAATCTAAACATAAAACCTCAAACTATGAAGCTACTGGTATAAAACACAAGAGAAACTCTTGGAGACACTGGAGTAGGCAAAGACTTAATAAATAGGATCCTCAAAGCACAGGCAATAATCCCAAAATTAGACAAATGGGATGGCCTTTGGTTAAAGCATTTCTGCACAGCAAAAGAAATGATAATTATAATGAATCAACATCCCTTGAAAAAGGAGAATTTGCAAACTTTTCCTCAGATAAAGGACTGAGAGCCAAAACATATAGGGAACTAAAGCAGCTTAACTGCTAAAAAAAAAAAAACAAAAGAAAAAAAAAAAAAAAAAAAAAAAAAAAAAAAAAAAAGTGATCCAATTAAAAGATGAGCAAACAAACTCAACAGACAACTCTCCAAGGAAGACATAGGCACAGTCCAAAAGCATATGAAAAATTACTCAGTATCCCTTACCATAAGGGAGATGCAAAGCTTTCTTCACTTTTACCTTTGTTGTTTCAATGTACAGAAAGGCTCTCTATTGTGTGGAATAAGTGTGCTAGTGTTTGTATGCAGAAATCTCAGCATTAGGCATTCTCCTGTCAGGAAACTGAGGGATGATTTTTACCTGTGGCAATGATATGTATTGTCCATCCCTATGACTCACACTAAACATGAACCAAGCCTAACTCACCATGCCCTTGAGAAATTGGTATTCTAGATGCAAGCAAGAGACAGAACTATTACAATACAAGTAAGGTTGTCATATAAGAAATATGGTGCTTACTTAGGGAAGGGGTAACCACTTCTATTTCTTTCTTTCTTTTTCTTTTCTTTCTTTTTATTTTTTTTTTTTTAGGTTTTTGCTATAGGGCGTGAGCGCTCACCATAAAGACAGAGAGAGACAGAGAGACAGAAAGTGAGAAATCAACCCCCAGGGAGGATGGCCAAGCCACAATCCCTTCTCCTCCATTCTCTTCACAGGATCTTAGGCACACACGCACACACGCCCAGTGTGAGTTTAAGCCACCGGGTCCAGGACTCGAACCGCGGTCGACTACATGGGAGTCCAGAGACATAGCCATTATGCCCACTGCTAATCCCCAAGGGGTAATCACTTCTGGGTGAGAATTCAGACATACCTTTTGAGACAGGCAGATTTTGAATAGACCTTGGATAAGGACAGGTAACTAGAAGAATGAAGTAGAAAACAAGAAACACAATGAAAAAGAACAATCCACACTGACCATCTCTGACTGGAATTTAGATACCACTTTATGTCAGAAATACAACCAGGAGAGGAGGGTGAAGCCAGCGAAGGCTTTTAGCACCTCTATATACTTTAGTGGGCAGAGACTTCTGAAAGCGTTTTATAAAGGAGACCGAATTGCCTTCTACTTTAGAAAGATGACTCTGAGATCGCAAGATAAATTAAAATATGCAAGATTACATCAGGATGTGATTTAGTGAGGAGAATTTTGCAACCATTAGAGAAGAGGTAATGACATGCTGAAAATGATAAAACGCAGGTAGAGAAGAGGTAAGCATGTGGCATTCAGCTATGATGTGTTTCAGGTGTTGGCGTTCATTCACCTAAAGACAGCCATCAGAAAGTGATACTGTCTGTCAAATGAGTCCTTAGTGTTCAAGTACATCAACCAAAGAAGCATTTCAGGAAATCTGGGTAAAAGAATATGAGATCAAATTCTGTACCTAAACCTTCAAAACACTGCCCTCACTAGTTGTAGAAATAATACTTGTATATCCAAACATCATATAGCTCAATACAAATAAAAATTCAATAATTCTTTCTCAAAGGCCTAAAATGTTGACTAGCTTTTTAGCCTGAATACATAAACAAATGGAAAACAATGTAATAATCATATGCCCAGAGATGTATTTTCATCTGTTGAACTATTTAGTTTGTTATAATTTCCAATTTCCTAGGGATTTATCTCACCCCAGAATACAAGTTAGCATTTACAACCATTATTATGTAATTGTAACATAGTGGAATCCAGGGGTTGCCAATTATCTTTTTACCCATAGTGCTAATTTACTAAACCCAGAATACTGGATTCAAATATCGTGCCCAGTAGGAAATTCAGAATAATTGTTTTTGTTCTCTATGTTTTTGCGGAAGTCATGATTTTTGAACATCTATGAGTAAATACTTCAAAAGAAAGAGGCTGTGGCTCTGCTGACTGTTATAATATGTGTGTCTTCATGTAAGAGATTCTGTTAGAAAGGGGATGAAGGGGGAAGGTGGTGTGGTGGTGAAGGCGCTAGACTCTCACGTGGCTCACCATGGTTGGAATCCCGGATTTGGCAGCTTGAAAATCACGCTGGGTGTCTGTGCTTCATGTGTACCCATGCTGCATGGATGCCCAAATTCCTGAGAGGAGAATGGAAAAGGGATTGCAGCATGGCAATCCCACCAGGGGTGATTTCTCACTTTCTGTCTCTGTCTCTCTCTGGCATGCACACCTGCCCTAGGGCAAAAACCTAAAAAAAATAAAAAATAAAAAATGAGGTCAGATTGGAGTCCTAAATCAGCTCATCATCAAATGTGGGTTCAGCTGGGACATAAACTTCATTTCTGAAAAGATTAAAATACCAATCACAGGATCAACAGATGGCATAATGGTTACATCACTGGACTCCCAAGTAGTCAACTGAGGTGCAAGTCCCAGACCCAGTGGCTTAAAACTCACACTGGATGTGTGTGTGTACATGCCCAAAATCCTGAGAGGAGAATGAAGGAGAAAGGATTGTGGTGTAGCCATTCCCCCGGGGGGTAATTCCTTACTCTCTGACTCTCTAGCAAGCACACACACTCTATAGCAAAAATCTCTCTCTCATTAAAAAACAAAACAAAACAAACAAAACAACTACAACTCTTATGGGATGAAGTTTTTATTTCCCATCTTTCCACCCTTTAAAAGAAAAAAAAATCAACTAATACATACAAAGAAATATATCCCCCTCTATTTGCCACTGCAATTTTAACACACAGTGAGGAGGTCCCCTGTGACATAATTACCCATGAACCCACAATCTCTTACTTCTCTCTGGGCTGACCCAAATAAATTGATTGCAGATGAGAAAAGCATTAGCAAGGAACTTCATGTGATCTAATAGATTTCTTAGGAAATGAAGTACATTTTAAAAAATGCAAGCAGATTAGTAGTTCTCTAGTCTCAAAGTTCAAATCCAAAATCAAAAGGAGAATTGATAAAATGTTTCATGCAAAGATGTTGTTTCATCACCATCTATGCTACCTATTGTCATTTGGAAGAGATGCTTTGTTCATTTGTGTCATGTACAAATAACTTGGGAAAAGTCAGGATTGGAAAACTAGATAGATTTACTCAGGCAAACATATATGAGTCATAGTGACTTTATACACTATAAGATTAACTATGATCTTGTAAAAGTTGGTCTTCCCGCATAAGGCATGTGTACTCACTGGGGAGACAGAAAGAAACAGAAAGGAAAAGTGAGAAATCACCCCTCAGAGGGGGTGGCCACACCACAATCCCTTCTCCTCCATTCTCCTCCTGGGATTTTGGGGATGCATGCACATGCACCGAGTGTGAGTTTCACATGCCCAGCATGAGTTTTATGCACTCAGCATGAGTTTCAAGCCAGTGGATTCTGGATTTGAGCATGTGGAAGGTCATGTAAGACTCCAGTGCCTTAACTACTTCACCGTCTGCTGGCCCTAAGAGTGGCTATGATTATAAGACTCTTTATTTATTTATTTATTTATTTATTTATTTATTTATTTGTTTGTTTGTTTGTTTGTTTGTTTTTGACCAGAGAGCAAATGTCTTCCTTTGGATATTCTTGGAAATAACTGAGGTACAAAGCAACAGCACGCCAACATAACACAGAGTAGACAGCATCATGCTACCAGTTCTTTTTAAATCTCATTGTCCCTGGTAGTGATTCCTGATTCTTTCATCATTAATTCCTGTCTGGGTTTTTCAGCAATTTTTCTATAAAGCAAAGTGTCCCCATGTGGGTTTTGCAATGCAGCTTCCTGGGCCAGCTGACTGGATGTGTTTACTACCACGCTGTTTTTGGCTCTCAGGGCACAGGCTTCCTCAGGCTTTGTTCTCTCTCGGCAGAGCTGGAGAAGGAAAGCATCTTGGAAACCACGGCGAAAATTCTCATTGAAGAAACCATAGATGATGGGGTTGACGCTGCTGTTGCAGAAGGCCAGCCAGTGGGCAAAAGGGTAGACGTAGATGTTGACGACCCGCAGCTCGTTTGGGGAAAGGTCAGCGTAGTCTGAGAGCAGCATCAGAGTCCAGAGGGGCAGCCAGGAGAGGATGAAAAGCAGGGCCACGATAAGGAGCATCTTGATGACCTTCTGCTTCTTCTTGGACACCATGTGCCACTGCTCCTGGTTCTGCCTTCTCGCATGAGGTGCTGCAGATTTGAAGAGTGAAATCCCGATCCTTCCATACATGACGACAATGAGGGACAGGGGGGCCAGGTAGATGCTGGCGAACAGCACAGTGGTGTAGATCTTCCTCATTGCCTGATTTGGCCAGTCTTCCCGGCACCAGTAGACTGGGCTGGTTTTATCCTGGGAGTTGAGTCTCACTCGGTAATATTTTTCCTCTTGTACTTGCAACATTACTGCAGATGGGGACATAATGGTGATGGCCAGGACCCAGATGATAACAATTATGACAAGTGCTGTCTTGAGAGTGAGCTTTGGTTTAAAAGGGTAGACAACACACCGGAACCTGCAATTAAGAGCAGAGAGCAATGAGACCTCATAACTTCCGACCAAGTTGTGAATGAAATCGATTTAATTACAGCCCTCTCTCATTCTTCTCAAAAATATAGAAATTACATTGTAATAGGGTGGTATGCACTGTCATTTTCTGTAATTGAGAGTGGGAATAGTTTTTATCAAAATTTGGATAAGTAGAGTATATCAGGCACTATTAATAATAAAAAGTAGGACTGGCAATGGCATAATGGTTACGTTGCTAGTTTCCCATGCAGTTGACCACAGTTCAAGGCCGGACCCAGTGACTTAAGAACTCATGTTGGGTGCATGCACAAAATTCCGAGAGGAGAATGGAGGAGAAGGGATTGTGACATGGCCATCCTACCCAGGGGCTGATTTCCCACTTTCTTACTCTATTTCTCTGGTGAGTGCCCATGCTTTAAAGCAAAACTGTCTCTAAAATAATAATAATAATAATAATAATAATAATAATAATGATAATGATAATAAGTAATACTGGTGACTGGCATATACTGAAGATGGACATTTGAAACCTTGTTCCAGACTCTCCTCTATTATTTTACATGAATTGTCTTTTTAGGCCTCCTTATTTAAAGATAAAAAAAAAGCCATAGAAAGGTAACAATCTGTCCCATAATTACATAGTATTTGACACAAGTATTTTGCCTCTAGAGCTCAGATCCTTAACCTCTGCAGTGTGTACAGGGGACTGCCAGCTGTGTTGGGCTCTGGCAGACTTTTAAGTCAGTAGTGATCAGTGAGCTGCTTCTCTCCTGTGCCCTCCTGTGGTCCCCTACATATTAATTTGCCTGCCATGTCACTTGCTTCAGCCAGTGGGACAATAATAAGGATGATGTAAGTGAAGCTTTCATGCATATCAGGGCTTGTACTTCCAAAATGCTTCCTTTAAAAAAAATATTTATTTATTTATTTATTTATTTATTTATTTAAATTTGCCCAGTAAGTGACAGAGTGATAGAGAGAGGGAAAGTGAGAAAGCAAGCCACCAGGTCTGGGACTCAAACTGCAGTGGGCCATATGGGAGTCCAACACTCTTAACCACCACGCCACCTGTTGGCCCCTCAAAATGCTTCCTCTTAAAAGTGAGCTTCCAGGTTCTAAGAAGTTTGAATCAGATAAAACGCATGTAAAGAAAGACCCTCGGGTTCAAGAAGTTGGACATCTTGGTGTTCCAGCCCTAGCTTAACTCTCATGCCACTGGAGGGATAATTTCATCTACAGCACGTGGAATAGAAAAACCCTTAGAGGTGCCCTGTCCACCCATAGGATCCTGAGATGCAATAAAACATTACTGTTTTATGCTATTTATTTTAAATTACTTTGGTGATTTGTAGCTATAGAAGGCCGAGAGTTTCTGGTGTGAGTTCTGATTATTGTGCCTTCCTGACAGTCTATATCCTCTGGTGAGCATGAAAACTCAAACATCAGTACAGAGAGTAAGTCAGATTCATTTTCACACTATTGTGGATCTTGATATTACTTTTTTGTTCATTATTTTAATTATGATTCAAACTTCTTGACACTTCATGATTTTCACTGGCACTCTTTCTTGGGACACAGGACTTTAGAGTCCTGCACCCAAATCTAAGAAGTCCAGGTGTCTTGAAACCACCATGGTGGGGGGCCCACCTAAGGAGTCTGGCAGAGAGAGCCTGAGCAGCTCCAGTGATTTTTAGCCCCCTGCTGTTTACTCCTCCTAGCCTAGACACCAACATGAGAATGAGAGACAGTTTAGCCTCACCATAGATCTGTCACATTAGATGATGAGTAGAACAAACTGTACTTTTTGAATCTTCACACATCACAGGTTCATGAGCAAAAAAAATCCTGCTGTTATTTTAATTCATTATATATTTGGGGAGTGGTTTATAATATAGCAGTAGAGAACCTGGAGTCGACAAGGAGGAAGATAAACAGTAATGGGTTTGAATTAAACCATTAGGTTCACAACTATCCTGCTGGAGGGGAGAGAAAGCTAAGCAATTATGTAACAGCTCAAGAGAGATTTGAGTTTCTACAAGGGTATAGGTTCTCTGGCATTGTTGCCCTACTCTGCTCAAGAGGAGAATGGCTTTCTGGTTTGGATGGGAGATACAAAGATGAACATACTGGCAGTTGGATGTTGGCCAGATGCCACTGAAAGGTGCAGGAGGTGTGATGTGAGCAGGGCACTGGGAACATCTGCTATAGGAGTGTGATAGGTTTTTAATGTGTCAACTTGAGGGGGCTAAAGGGAACCCAGATCAAATGTCAGTTGTGTGCGTGTGCCTATGAAGATTTGATTTGATGGACTCTTAACAGTAGATTTCCCTCCCCTATTTAGAGAGCATAACCCATTATGCTGAGGACCTGAAAAGAACAAAGGCAGAGGAAGGAGGAATTTGCCCTCCACATTTTCTTTCCTGCCTCACTGCTTGAGGTGAAATATCTCATCCCCTACCCTCAAATGAGGATAGCATATCTACAACTACTTCCTGTTGCCATTGATCTGTTTCTCTGGAGAATGCTAACACAGAGTCATTGTGTATAGATGGTATTTGAAGCCTTTTGTACTTGTCTTTTGATTTACAGTATTACCTGAATTTAGTTATTTACATTTGGTTATTCTTTTATTGTGGTATTTTTCACAGTTGCTAAGATGTGGAACCAACCCAAAGAATGAATTGAAAAAGTCTGGAACATAGACTCTATGGAATACTACTCAGCCATAGAAAGCATTAAGACCTTGATATTTGATAGAAAGTGGACAAATATTGAAGATTTACTGCTGAGTGAAGTAAGTCAGGCTATTAAAGAGACTTTGAATGTCTCTACTTAATATATACTGTCTGCACCTTATGGCAGAAATGGAAAGATTAGAGGATATAGAAACATGGAAAATGGTTACAGACATTGGAGACAGTGTGAGAAGAGGGTGGGGAAAGGGGGAAGTGAGAGGAAAGAAATTAAGGAGTAAAATAGAGAGGCAAAACATTTATGGAACACAGAAATGGATTATTATCTGTTGATGATAATGTATATAGTATCTTCAACTGGACTTGTATGAAGTGTATTCATGTTGGGTAAATTCATTTTATAAGTTGTAGTGGTGTATAGTGATTGAATGTGTAAAAGAAATTAGAATTGATAAAAGATTGATTATTCTTTAAAAATGCTATCTTAAATTAATTAATTAATTAAAAAAGGCTATCTTAGACAGGTTAATTAGTTTCCCCTTTTTTCCTAATAGCTAATATTAAGCTCCAAAACTTCTATGGTATTTTCAATGGTATTTTATTTATAGAGGAAACATTAAAATATCTTGACCATACCCAGTTCTAAACAATTGTTTAGTATTAAAAAACCTCCTCATTAATATGCAATTATAATAGAAAAGACCAAGAACTTTTATTATAAAATTCATAAAGCTAAACAAACACTAGAAAATATAACTCTAAAATTGATAAACCTTATTATAAGATTTAAATGTTACAGTATAAGACCAATTGGTATATCTATTTCTTATCTATCTTTTTTTTTTTTTTTGGAGTTGTTTTTGCTATAGGGCGCATGCACTCGCCAGACAGACAGAGAGATAGAAAGCGAGAAATCACCCCCCCAGGGGGGATGGCCACGCCACAATCCCTTCTCCTCCATTCTCCTCTCGGGATCCTGGGCACGCACGCACATGCACCCGGAGTGAGTTTAAGCCACAGGGTCCGGGACTCGAACTGTGGTTGACTATGTGGGAGTCCAGTGACATAGCCATTATGCTAACTACTGGTCCCTCTTATCTGTCTTTTTAAAACCTGTCAGCCATATAGAAAAGTGAATTTGGTTACTTTCTTTAGAACTTCTATATATGTTACTGCTTTTAAAAATAATTTGCATTAACTATTTAATTAAAACTAAATGTTTATGCCTTTTAATTATAAGATAATATATGAAGAACATTTTTATTAAGTTACTATAGGTTTATATACTCATAAAGATATATTAAATCAGAAACTTTTATTTGAATGAAAGATGTTGGGACCAGCAGTTAGCGTAATGGCTATGTTGCTGGACTCCCATGTAGTCGACCACGATTCGCATCCCAGACCCAGTGGCTTAAAACTCATGCCAGGCGCGTGTGTGTGCATGCCCAAGATCCCAAGAGGAGAATGGAGGAGAAGGGATTGTGGCATGGCCATCCCTCCTGGGGGGTGATTTCTTGCTTTCTGTCTCTCTGTCTCTCTCTGTCTTTCTGGCGAGCGCAAGGGCTCTATAGCAAAAAAAAAAAAACCCAAAACCAAAAAACAAACAAACAAAAACAAAAACAAAAACAAAAAACCTCTCAAAAAAAATATGAATGATGTTATATAGTTATACATTTTTACTTTTTGTAATTATCAGGTCCTCAGCAGAATGGGTTATGCTCTCTCAATTGGGGAGGGAAATCTACTGTACAGAGTTCACCAAATGAAATCCTGATTGCATCCAGAAAAATCTTCATAGGCAAACACACACTATTTATTTAATAAATATTAAATCAATATTTATTTAAAAATACAATCCATATTGTTTCATTGGTACCACCTATGATCAATTTAAAATGAATAAAACTAAATTTATCTTCTTGAAACAAATTAAACATATATGAAACACAATTTAAAAATACAAATGGTCAAATGCTCAACATCCCTCATTGTAAGAGAAATGCAGATCAAAACAACAATGAGATACCACCTAACCCCAGTCAGAATGTCTAAAATTAAAAAGCAAAATACGATAAGTGTTGGCGGGGGTGTGGTGAAAGGGGAACTCTCATACACTGCTGATGGGAATGTAAATTGGTCCAAACACTGTGGAGAACAATTTGGAGATTCCTCAAAAATCTGCAAATAAAATTACCATATGATCCAGCAATCCCACTCCTTGGTATCTTCCCAAAGGACAGAAAAATACTTAATTGGAAAAGTGCTTGCACATTGACGTTTATTGCGGCACTATTCACAATTGCTAAGTCACGGAAACAACCCAAATGCTCACACAAACAGAGGAATGGAAAGAAAAACTGTGGCACATATACTCAATGGAATACTATTCAGCCATAAAAAAACCCTGGCTTCTGACAAGAACTGGATGACTATGGTAGACTTACTGCTGAGTGAAGCAAGCCAGGCTATGAAGGAGAGGCATTGTATGTCTCCACTTAATATATACTGAGTGTCCATACTCTATGACTGATACTAATTGACCAAAGGATATAGAAACACAGTATATAGATGTAAATACCAGATATAGTGTGTATGAAAGAGGAGGGTCTGAGTAAGGACATTTGGGGGAGGGACAGGGAGGCAAAGCATTAATGGAACAAAGAGGTGTGGTATTATCTGTTGAAGATATTTTGTAGTTACATCAACTGTACTTTGTAGTTTCATCAACTGTACTAGGGAGTAATGTTCACCTGTTGAAATATCCACTTTATGAGACAAATAATATGATTGAATGTATGGAAGAAAATGAAATGAAAAAAATTAATTAATTAATAAAAAGCACAAATGGTCATGAATGCAGTGATTCACTTAAGATTTTCTAATTTTACAGTAGTATAAAAGCAAGATGCTTTCTGTAAAAAATGTACTTTCATATAAAATAGGCTTTGTTTTAGATAATTTTGCCCAACTGTAGGCTAATGTAAGTGTTCTGAACACATTTAAAGTAGGCTAAATTAAGCTATGATGTTTGCTAGGTTAGGTTTTTTAAATGCATTTTTGACTTAGAACATTTTCAATTCATGAAAATGTTTTCTCCCTCCTTCCTATGACATCTTGAAATTGCTATGCTTTTACAGTTTTAGACTGTATCTATAAATTTTATAAAATAACACCATATTGTATATATCATTATGCAACCTTTTTTCTGATATTTTATGCTTTTGAGTATATACATATCAATTTATGTTGACTTTATTCACTCAATTTAATCATTGTAAAATTACCCTTTAAACAAATATAGCACAATTTGTTTACTGATTCTAATTTCATTTACTTTTTAAAACAAATATCAATTTTTGGGACCAACATATGGCACAGTAGTTACATCTCTGGACTCCCACATGGCCGATTGCATTTTGAGTTCCAAATCGGGTGGCTTTAAAATCACACTGGGTACATGTGCATGCGTGCCCAAGATCCTGGAAGGAAAATGGAGGAGAAAGTATTGTGGCGTAGCCATCCTTTCTGTGGGATGATTTCTTATTTCCCTTTTCACTGTGTCTAACTACCTGTCTGTCTGTGTCTCTCTGCTGAGCACATGCACCGTAAGGCAAAAGCCTCTAAAAAAAATGAGTATCTTCATTTTTTTTTTTTACTTATTTTTATTTTAATTTGACTAGAGAGAGACAACATAAGAGAGAGAGAGGGAAAGTAAGAAAGCAAGCTGCCAGCCAGGTCCAGGACCCGAATCATGGTCAGCCATGTGGGAGTCCAGTGCCCTTAACCACCATGCCACCTATCAGCCCCGAGGTTCAACTTTAAAAAAAAATTAAATATGTTTAGGAGGCATTATAGAATCAGTGGAACATAAATTTAATGACATTTAAACACTATATGTATATGGAAATAAACTCAACATTCAAGTAGAAAACATAAATAATATTACATTTCTTTCTTCACTAAAATATATGCACTTAAATAAGGTATAGAATTTATTATAAGCATGTACCTAAAATGATCATTTAGTAGTGGGTAGGATAAATAAGTATGGATAGTAAATAAATAAAATGACTTAATATAATCAAAATAGTAATTCTGGAAATCGCTAACCTCCAAATTTTAATGTAAATCTTGTATCTTTGGCATATGCTGATAAGCATATGTTTAAATTCTGTTCTATTTACATGTAAGCCAAATACTCAAAGATCTACATGACTGGTTCTTAGACACAGGCTAAAGCATTGTGTCAGAGTTTACCACATTGTTCTTTTGATGTCAACAATTTCACTGTTTTATATTTTTTTAACCTTGCTTTCTCATTTTTTTTACACACAGACATAACACATATAAATGTGTTGATGGCTGCATCCTTTACTGGACCACTTTCACTTAGGAAGACTTTTTTTTTTTTTGAGAGTGATTTTTGCTTAAGGGGGGTGCATACATTTTCCCGAGAGACAGAAGGCAAGAGATCAACCCCCACAAGTGATGGCCACTCCACAATCTCTTCTCCTCCATTCTCCTCTTGGGATTTTGGAAACACACACACACACACACACACACCTGGAGTGAATTTTAAATCACCAGGTCTGGGACTCAAACTGTGGTCAACTATGTGGGAGTCGAGTGATGTAACCATTATGCCATCTGCTGGTCTCATTGGAAAGATATTTTATCTGACCTTCCAGGTCATGGTTCAGTGTACCTCTCAAATATCTCTTACCTTCATTGACACTGTCTTCTAGACATCCTTTCCCATTTTGTGTTATTTCAAAAGCTTCTTCACTCTCTCTCTCTCTAATCTTGCATTACTCCAGTTACTCCAGTTCATTTCTCTACTAGTTCATCTACAATAAAATGGAAATCATTTCCCTGTTTACTAGACTTCAATAGCTCCCTGTTGTCTTCAGGACAAGGTTTACACTGATTGAAATGGGAGAAAAGCTAACTGAAAATCTGCCCCTTGCTTCCTTCTGTGTGGAATGAGCTACTTCACCATCTCTGAGAGCTGAACTGCCCCCTGCACTCCTCTAGACAAGTGCACCCTGCGTCAAGAGCCCTGTGTATATATATGCTTGTCCTACAGATGCCCCTTTCCTAGTCTTTACCCAAGATAAATTCATGAATCTCAATCGCCCTATGGCAAAAAAAAAAAAAAAAAAGAAAATCTAAAAAAGATTTAGACTAATCTTTTCTCCAAATTTCCTGTCCTGATGGGCAGAATTGATCATTCTCTTCTTTGCATAGCTGTTCTGTACTAAATCCCTGTTAGTATTATTTGTAAATATTCCTTAATGGGCCCTGCATCCTCCACTAGACCATAGACTTCCTGGCTAAAAATTTCTGAGCTGTTAAACAATCTAGCTTACTACCTATTATCTCATAAACCCTCCACCAAATGTATAAGTGAATAAGCAAATGAAGAATGATTTTTAATCTTAAAATCTGAATAAAGTTTCAGATTTCAGCAAACTTTCATTTTCACCATTAGGATATTCTGGATTCTGGTGTAAAAACTAAAACTGTAGCATTCCTAATTACTTAATTTTAAAATAAGTAAAGCTTAATAGTTTTTTTTTTTTTAATTACTACAACTTTAGTAGGTATATGCCTTGCTCTTAAAGAGGTAGATATTTGGAAGAAATATGTTCAAATTTAGTAGACTATACATTTTTCTGGTAGTTTAGTTACAGACATGCTTGTTTTTCTGGAGTCAGTGTTTGGTGGAAAATAATGCTATCAGGGGCCAGCAAGTGGCATGGTGGTTAAGGGCACTGAACTCCCACATGACCAACCATAGTTCGAGTCCTGGACCTGACAGCTTGCTTTCTTGCTTTCCCTCTCTCTCACTGTCTTGCTGGTGAGTGCATGTGCCCTGTAATAAATTTAAATAAAATAATTCTAAAAAAAATACAATGCTATCACAACCTAACAAACTTTAGGACTCCGGAGACATATTTTCTTTTGCTTTGTATTTACTAAAGTCACTCAAGCACCTATTTTAGATGGCCTTGATCTGGATAGGGGGCCCTTTTTAAGAGATATATAAGATTATTTGGGTTATTTGAAATACTGTAAATTACATGAAAACAATACTCAAACTGTCACACTGTTTTTGAGTACAATGCTGACTTACCTATCCACTGCTATTGCAACCAGAGTAAAGACGGAAGCTGCAACTGATATTCCCTGGACCAATCCACTGATCTTGCACATTGTATTTCCAAACGGCCAACCTGAAAGAGAAAGGCCATACATTTTTTTAAGTCTCACTTGAAGTATGAACAGAAAGGTGTGAAATCAAAACAAAGAACATTTCTTTTTAAGAGAGATTTTTGCTATAAGGGTACATACACTTACCAGAGAGATGGACAGAAAGTGAGAAATCACACCCCAGGCAGGAAGGCCACACCACAAACCCTTCTCCTCCATTCTTCTTTTGGGATCTTAAGCATGCACACATATGTGCCCAGCATGAGTTTTAAGTTGCTGGGTCTCAGGACTCCAACCATGGTCAACCATCTGGAAGTCCAGCGATCAACCATTATGCCATCTGTTGGTCCTGCTAAGTTTTGTTTTGTTTTGTTTTTTGAGAGGTTTTCACTATAGGGCATGTGCGCTCACCAGACAGACAGTGAGAGACATAGAGACAGAAAGACAGAAATCACCCCCCGGGGGGATGGTCACGCTGCAATCCCTTCTCCTCCATTCTCCTCTCAGGATCTTGGGCAGGCACACACACGCGCCTGGTGTGAGTTTTAAGCCACCAGGTCCAGGACATGAACCGCGGTCGACTATGTGGGAGTCCAGTGACATAGCCATTATGCCAACTGCTGGTTCCCCTGGTAAGTGTGTTTTAAATGTTGTGAGAATTCACTTTACAAAGTAAGTGATGTATAGTGATTGAATGTATAAAAGAAGTTGAAATAAAAGTAAATAAAAAAGAATGACAGCCAAAGAATCATCAATGTGTCCTGGGCATTTTTATAATGTCCAGAGTTCTATTTCTCAGTACACTGATATTAATGTCAAAACTTATATAGTAATTACTACACTCTAGATAATATAATAAGTGCTTTATATCTATTAAAATATCTAGTCATCACAAGCTTTTGAAGATTTTATTATTCTCCTATGACATTGAAACCATAACAAATACAAATATCACATATCTTACCACAACTAGCTAGCAGTGTATTAAGGACTTGAATCTGGGCAGTAGGGTTCCATAGTCATAGCAATTAAGCATGAATGACCTTCTAATGAATAAAACAATCATCATGTAGGTTTTCCAATTTGAAAATGTACCCCATAAATTATAGGAAATTAGGAGGTACATACAGAATACATTAACTACACTTGTTTAAATGTAATAAGACAATTCACATCAAAGGTACTTCTAGAGTAAAGAGCACTTTACATGAATAATAGTGGTCAATTTGAATTATTTTCTAACTGAACTACAGCTAGTAGAAAGTTTATAAGAGAAATTAGTAAAACTATTATAGTGGTTTGATACTCTATAAACACCCATTTGTTATACAGGAATACAATGTTTTCACTAGCAAATAGTCTAATTTCCTAAAAGATAAATTCTATATATTCCTTAGTTTTAAAAATTTTTAAATTTACCTTTTAAAAATATCTTGCAATTTATTTCTCCAAAACAAAATATTTTATGTAATTTGAAATATTACAAATAACCAAAATAATCCTATACATCCCTTTTTTAAAATATCACCTATCTGGATCATCTATAATAAAATAGGTGTATGGTGGTGTGACATTGACTGGACCAATACACAGTGTATTCATGATCGGACAATACATTGGTATACTGTAATGAGGCACAATAATTGAATGTAAAAATTAATTAATTTAAAAAATAGGCACTTGAGTACCTTTAAAAAGTGAAAAAGAAAAGACTCTCTCCTCCCAGTCCTGACATTTGTTAGACTGTAAAAACATTATTTTCCAACAAAAATGCAAAAGAGATGTGTAGCTATTGGTTGAGCATAGATGAATAAGTATATTTTCTATCTTATCTTCCTCACTAAAGTTTACTAAAATAACAGCACTAGTAAAAAAGAGCATAAATCCAGTGAAACTGAGACTCCAGCGAGTACTGAGTGTGAAGTGGGAAAAACAACACAATTGGTAGGATTATGTATCAATTCAGTTAGAGGACACTGGATTTTACCCCAGGCTGATAGAATATTGGAGATTCAACCTTGGAGGAAGTGGAACCACAGGCTTCTAGACTCAGACTCCAGGTGCAGGGGTAATGGTTGTCACTGAAGCAGAAGGATTAAGAAAAGGAGACCTCTGGCTGCAATACCTCTGACTGAAGCCATCTCTGCTCAGAGATGCCGCAGCCAGCCTCCCATCCCTATGGCAGTAGATCAGAGAATTTCCTTCTGGAGGAAGTGACCCATCTAACAACACTGACTTACAGATTTCACTGTTGTGGATTTCCTGAAGAATGGCCTTGATTAATGAAGCTAGAAGTGGTTCTAACCTTAACCCAGCCATATGGGTGTCTTACTCTGGAACATAAACAGCTAAGAAGCAGCTGCTATGAGGGAAACATCAAATTTAAAAAGATAAAAATAGAAGAAAGCAAGTTAGGAAAAATGGATACATCAGATATATGAAAAGGGGGAAAATATTCCTAATAACACCTGAAATAGAACACATTTTATCCATGAGATGTGCAGGATAGTATAAGAAACATGTACAAAAGTAAACAAAAATAGCTCAAAGAATCTAACATGATAACAGCAACAAGGAACTCAGTATAAATTTTGGATGAAAAAGTTCAGAACACTTTTTAAAATATTACAGTAAGAAGCAGAAAGTAGAGAGATCAGATGAGGAGGGGTAAGAATCTCCAATATCTGATTAATATGAGTAGAAGAAAGAAAAATAGAAAATAACCTTATAAGAAAATTCCCTGGGATTTAAATGCTTGAAATGCTCCAAGACTTGAACTACAGTTGGTCATGTAGGAGTCCAGCGCCTTAACCACTACACTATCTGCCGGCCTACAAAGTAGTTTTAATTAGACAAATTGGTGTCTGTGATTACGTTGTCCAGGTAACTAAAAACCTTAAACTTCTAGAGATGGCTGAATCCCCAGAAGGTCCTGATGGCAGAAATGCGAAGCCCCTTATCTGGGGCACATGGAAGTAGGTGGGCCATTACCCCAGCTGACCTCTGGTTTCCCACTCCACCCACACAGAACATGGGTTCTCATTATGCCCCATAAATATCAGCCTTCAAAAGTGGATTGCTTTGTCATTAAAGAGTGAGGTGAGAGGAAGGTCTTTGCTGTCTGGTATCATTTGACTTGGTGTTCTTCCAAGGAAGTGCCCCTAGATTTAAAGGCAGGACATGCCCAAGGTCATCTGAATCGGTTCTCTGCCTGGGGAGGTCAAGGCATAGTTCAGATAACTCCAGAATTGCATAGTTTCCTCCTCCTTTCCTGGATGACCTCAGCCTCAAAAAGAGCATCTCCTCATATCTGCCCTCTTGCCCATGGTCTAGCCCCAACCCCTACCCCTGCACCCCCTACAAGGAAGTGGCACTTCCTTGGGTGACACATGGTACAGACACATTGCCATACTCCATCTCGGTGATAGTAATAGTCTTTACGTACCACACCAGCTCTCTCTTGGGAATGAACCTGTCCTCTCTGGCAAGGTGGCCCACACAGAGGGAGACAATGTCCCCAAAGAAGATGCTGTCAAACTCAAAAGTGTCTGTAGTCCCTCTGCAGAAAACAAATGTGTGGCCAATAAATTGCCCTGGCCTTCAGTAGACAGGCATTTATTGAGTGCCTACTGCATCCAAGGACTAGGGAATAGGGAAGGGAATAGGGAAGAATGGCAAGCAAAATCTAATGTCAGTCCCGTGTTCCTAGAGGAGTACAGTCTCATTTTGGGATAAGATAATCATAATGAAAATGCACTACCAGCTGCCTGGTCTCAGTCCAGTGAATAGTAACGTCAGGAAGCAGGATAGGGTTGGGAGAAGGCTGAGGCCCTGGGTGTTGAATTGAGGGTAGTAAGATTCACAGAACAGAGGGAGGCTGACAAAGGAAGTTATCTGTTGTGGACCAGGGTAAGCAAAGTTATGGATGGGAATATGGGATGTGGAGGTGCAGTCATTTCTGGGGACAGTGCTAGCTTGGTTCAGTGAGGGAAGTGGCAGTAAGGATAGTGCCAGTCTAAGGAGCTCTGACTACCCTGATGTAGAAGGAATTTGAATAAAATGTTGCTACAAGCTGAACGTTTTTGTCACCCTCCCCATTCTGATATTGAAACCTAATCCCTGATGAGATGGTTATGAGAAGTGATTAGGTCTTGAGGGTGGGGCCTTCATGAATCGTATTGGTGTCCTTTTAGAAGAGACCCAGAGAGCTGCCTTGCCAGGGCAGGGCATATGAAGATACAAAGACTATGAGCCAGGAAGTAGACCCTTGCCAGACCCCAATCTGTTGCTGCCTTGATGTTGGACTTACAGCCTCTTCAACTGTGAGAAATAAATTTCTGCTTTATACAAAAAAAAAAAGAAAAAAAGAAAAAAAAAGAAATGCATTAATTTTGTGATGGAAAAGTCCTAATGCAACAAATGAAAAACAAACATGTCTACTCCAAGCCATAATTTCATGAATTTCAGAACACCAGGGATAATGGGAAGTTCAAATAGCTTTCAGTAAGAAAATCAAAATGATGAGCAAACAAAGCAAGAAACCACACAATGTCAGATTTTTCTGTACTAACACCATATTTTTCAGTATTAACAATAAGATAAGCCTTTAAAATTCTTAAGAAAGAGTATCTGTTGATGATAACATGTACAGTATCCTTCAACTGGACTGGTGTGAAGTATATTCAAGTTCAGGAAATTCACTTTAAAAGTCATAGCAATGTATAGTGATTGAATGTATAAAGAAAATTAAATTGTAAAAATTATGGGAAAGTGGAAAACAAATTCTTTTTTTAAAAAGATAGTTGATATTTTATTGTTCATGGTACCTCAAATTATACAGTCATAGAATTGTGTACTTTACCAGAGATTGTGGTTAAGGGAAAATTAAACAACGTTAACAACACATGGAACTTTAGGAATATTGCATAACTTTAAGAAGAAAGTGTGTATGTGTCTATAATCATTTTAGTAAATCCATTTAGAATAACAATAGTGATAGCAGTAGATTTCAATTTTTTTTTGGAGAGGTTTTGCACTCACCAGAGAGACAGAGACATAGAGACAGAAAGCAAGAAATCACCCCCCAGGGGGGATGGTCATGCTGCAATCCCTTCCCCAAGATCCCTAGAGGAGAATGGAGGAGAAGGGATTGTGGCGTGACCATCCCCTCTGGGGGGTGATTTCTCGCTTTCTGTCTCTATGTCTCTCTCTCTGTCTGTCTGGTGAGCGCATGCGCCCTATAGCAAAAAAACCTCTCAAAAAAAAAAAATGCAGTGCCCTTCGTAAATCCAGGCAAATGAAAAACATTTTATAAGCATGAAATCAATATCATTACACTGTTTATGGCTAATCATGGGTAAGATACAGTATTCATGATGGGAAAATTCATTTGGTATGCTATCATGATACACAGTGATTGAATGCAATAAATAAATTATATATGTTTATATATATATATAATATTCCTATTACATATAATAGGAGTATTGATTTAAATATTGAATACCCACTGAACATTGATTTAACTATGACATAATTACTTTGGGAGAATGAGAGAAGATAAGCAATATAAATATATGTTGTGTTTAAACTAAATTTATATCTTCTACAATAGTTTGAAGGCAATTTATTATATTGAAAATTTGTCATTTAGAAATGTGGTAGTGATTACCATAAAAAAAGGCAAAGTTGCTGAAAGTGACTACTTCCTGGGAGTGGAAATCAAGGGGCAAGGAAAAAATTTTAAATTATAATTTAATTTAATTTAGATATTTATGGGGGAAAATACCAACCAAGTAACCTGACTGAGAGCAGTAACAATTTTTATCAATCCCACTTTTTGTCTAGCACAGTATCTTGACACTGTTACATTTTCAATGATTATTTTAATGATAAATAGCACAGAAACTCACAATCTAGGCAATACATAACTGATAAAACAGGCATTATGGGTTCTCCCTGGCTCTCACACCAGAGGAAGAAAGGGAACAGAGGAAAATCTCCAAAGAGAAATATCTTTTCCTACTTTATGTAAACAGATTGAGTGCTATGAAAAGATAAGAAATGTGATATGGCTTTTGTGCTGCTCTAAACATATTCAGATTATTTTTTGGAGAGGTTTTTTTTTTTTTTTCTATAGTGCACGTGCACTCGCCAGAGAGACGGAGAGAGACAGAGAGACAGAAATCAAGAAATCACCTCCCAGGGGGGGATGGCCAAGCTGCAATCCCCTCTCCTCCATTCTCCTCTTGGGATTTTGGGCATGCACGCACATGCGCCCGGTGTGAGTTGAAGCTGCCAAGTCTGGAACTCAAACCATGGTTGACTACATGAGAGTCCAGTGACACAGCCATTATGCTAACTGCTGGTCCCAAAATTTTCAGATTTGAATATGACTATTCTGAGTACTGTTCATTAATTAATACAATAAATATTAAGCTGGCACTATATACCAAAACCGTACTGGAAATACAGCTTTCCTGCACTTCCAAAACATACATTAATACCATGTTCTAGAATTTACAACACAGACTGACAAGTACCAGAGTGATAACCCTAACCATTACAAGGTGGAGTTACAGTTGTTGCATATGTAGACTACCTTTTTGAGAAATCACTGTGACTGCTCCATTTTTCTTCTAAAACTTTCAGAAAACTTTCTAACTAACCACAGTGGGACCTAGATTTCTATTTACGTTAAAGAAACCCAACCAATTGAAACTGGATGCATCAGTTTCTTGAACTTTATAGACATAGTTTTCTTAATATTTCTGTCATAGTTTATGTATTCTAAGTTGTAATACAGCAAATTTGAAAAATTTCGGTGACATGTACTAAATCTCATTTTATGATGGCTTTCAATGAACACTCAAAAAATAAGAGCCCCCACTCTATCTTTGTCACTTGCTCAATTTTTTCATAATTGTTCTTATGTTTGAATTACACATTTTCTTATTGTCTTCTTTAGAATATACACTTTGTAAGGATAGGCACCAAGAGTAGTTTTAGGCACTTCATACATATTTGTGAATGCAGGGCTAAATATTCTTAGCTGTAAGGCTATGACCAAACATGCTATTTTTCATATCATCTTCACACTGTACACAAGTCAACATACCTGCTATAATATTGTCCAGCAGTGTTATAGGCATACAGAATATGCCAACCAGTAAATCACTTATTGCAAGGTTTAAGATGAAAAGATTGGTGACTGTGTGCATATGTTTATTCCTCATTACAATAAAGCAAACCACCGTATTTCCCACCATGCACAGGAAGAAGATCAGAAAGTAGGAAATAATGAAGACTGCTGCCACTTGAGGCTGGTGAAGATAGTAGTCCACATAGGTAATGTTAATGTCTGAATACAGATGATGCTTTGTGTCATTGGCACTCCAGATGTGATGCCAGTTTTCTGAAGAATTTGAGTCCCATTTCTCATTCATGATGAGCCCTAACAGAGGAGAGGCAGAGAGGAAAGTGTAATTAGAAACAAGTAGGAAAGAGGTTCTGTAATTGAGCTTAATAAGCTCCTAAAATGTCATGAAATTTTGATGGGCCTTCTAGAATGATCCATGCAATTGCATGGAACTGAATTATATATAAGACGTTCAAATCATTAGAATTTTTCACCGAGAAACAAAGCACAAAACTTCAACACACAGCACACCTGACTCAGACCCATACCTCACTGAGACCCACAGCAGACCTCACAGACCCACAACACAATTCACTGAGATCCACAGAACACCCCACTTTAACCAACAACATACGCCATTGTGACCAACAGCACACCGCACTGTGACCCACAGCACACCTCAGTGAGACCACCGCACACATCACTGAGGCCCACAGAACAAAACTTCGACCCACAGCACAACCCACTTAGACCCAAACCTCACTGAGACCCACAGTAAACCTCACTGAGACCCAAACACAATTCACTGAGATCCACAGCACACCCCACTTTAACCCACAGCATACCCCACTGTGACCTACAGCACACCCCACTGCAACACACAGTACACCTCAGTGAGACCACACACATCCAGACCCACAGCACAAAATTTTGATACACAGCACACACCACTCAAACTCAAACCTCACTGAGACACAGCACAATTCACTGAGATCCACAGAACACTCCACTTTGACACACAGCACACCCCACTATGACCCTATATGAGTCTCAGTGATGTGTTCTGTGGTCTCACTGAGGTGTGCTGCATGTCACAGTGGGGTGTGCACACCTCAGTGAGTCCACCACAAAATCACTGTATCCCATAGCACAAAACTGTGACCCCCAGCATACCCCACTCAGACACAAATGTAACTGAGATCCAGAGTAAACCTCACTTAGAACCACAGAAAATTCACTGAGACCCAAAGCACACCCCACTGTGACCCACAGCACACCACGTTGTGACACACAGGACACCTCAGTGAAACCACTGCAAACATCATTGAGACACACAGCACAAAACTTCGACCCACAGCACACCCCAATCAGACCCAAACCTTACTGACACCCACAGAAAGCCTAAGGCCAAAAGCAAAATTCATTGAGATATGCAGCACACCCCACTTAATCCCACAGCACATGTCACTATGACCAACAGCACACCCCACTGCGACCCAGAGCACACCTCACTGTGAACACCACACACATCATTGAGATCCTCAGCCCAAAACTTTGACCCACAGCACACCCCACACAGACCCAAGCCTCACTGAGACCCACAGCAAACCTCCCTAAGCTCCACAACACAATACACTGAGATCAACAGCACACCCCATTTTTAACCCACAGCATACCCCACTGTGAACCACAGAAAACCCCCGTGAAATTATTGCACACATCGCTGAAACCCTCCACACAAAACTGTGACCCAGAATATACTCCACCCAGGCCCAAACCTCACAGAGACCCACAGCAAAGTTCACTGAGACCCACAGCACAATTAACTGAAATCCATGGCTCACCCAATTTTAACCACAGCACATCCCTCTGTGACCCGCATCACACCTCATTGAGAAAACAGCACACATCGGTGATACCTACAGCACAAAACAGTGACACACAGCACACCCCACTTAGACCCAAATCTTATTGAGACCCACAGCAGAATTCACTGAGATCCACAGCACACCCCACTGTAACCCACAGCACATGCCACTGCGACCTACAGCACACCTAATTGAGACCACAGCACAAGTTAGTGAGACACACCACACAAAACTACTAACACAGCATACCCACTCAGACATAAACCTCAATGAGACTAACAGCAAACTCACTGAGAACCACAGCACAATTCACTGAGATCCACAGCACAAACTGCTTTAACAAACAGCACACCCAACTGCGACCCACATCACAGCTCAGTGAGACCACTGCACACATCACTGAAACCCATCACACAAAACTGCCACCCACAGAACACCCCACACCAACACAACCCTCACTGAGACACACAAGAAACCACACGGAGACCAACTGCAGAATTCACTGAGATACACAGAACACACAACTGTAAGCAACAGCATACCTCATTGAGACCACAGCACAACAGTGAGAGCACTGCACACATCACTGGAACCCACCACACAAAACTGCAACCGACAGCACATCCCAATCAGAATGAAGCCTCACTGAGACCCAAAGCAAATCTCACAAAAACCCAAAGCACAATTCACGGACACTAACAGCATACTCCACTTTTACCGACAGCAAACCTCACTGCAAACCACATCACAACTCAGTGAGACCATGGCAAACAACAGTGAAACCTGCCACACAAAATTGCAACCCACAGTACACCCATCTCAGATCCAAGCCTCACTGATAACCACAGCATAATTCACTAATATCCACAACCCAACAGCACATCCCACTATGACCCACATCACAGCTCAGTGATACCACCACACACATCACTGAAACCCACCACACAAAACTGCGACCCACAGCACACCCAACTCAGATCTAAACCTCAGACCCACAGCAAACCTCACTTAGACCCACAGCACAATTCATGGGGACCCACAGTCCACCACAGAGTAACTCAAAGCACACCTCTTTGAGACCACAGTATACATCATTGAGACCCACTGCACAAAACTGCGACACACAGAAAACCTCACTCAGACCCAAACCTGAGAATCACATAAAACCTCACTGAGACCCACAGTACCATTTAATTGACCCAATGCACACCCACTTTAAGACATGGTATACCCCACTGCACCCAGCAGCACAATTCATTGAGACCACCGTACACATCCATGAAACCTACTGCACAAAACTGTGACCCACAGCACACCCCACTCAGATTCAAACCTCAATGAGTCCCACAACAAACCTCACTGAGAACCACAGTACCATTTGCTGGACCCAAAGCATTCCCCACATTAAGCAATGGCACACCCCACTGCCACAAGCAACACACATCATTGAGACCACTGCACACATCCCTGAAACCTACTGCACAAACTGTGACACACAGCACACCCACACAGACCCAGAACTCTCAGAAACCCACAGCAAACATTACTGAAACCCACAGTACCATTCACTGGGACTGAAAGTACACTTCAATTTAAGCCACAGTACTCCCCATTGTGACCGGCAGCACACCTCATTAGACCACCACACACATCCCTAAAACCCACCGCACAAATCTGTGACCCACAGCATACCCCACTCAGAGTCAACCAAACCTCACTGAGGCCCACAGCAAACCACACAGAGACCCACAGTACCATGAACTGAATCCAATGCACACCCTATTTTAAGCCACAGCAGACCCCACTGTGACCAGCAGCATATCTCATCAAGACCACCACACACATCCCTGAAACCCACCACACAAAACTGGAAACAACACAGGCATACCCCACTTAGATCCAAACCTCCCTGAGACCCACAGAAAACCTAACTGAGACACACAGTACAATTCACAGCATACCCCACTGTGACAGGCAACACACCTCATTGAGACCACCAAACACCTGAAAACCAAAGCACAAATTTGCAACCGACAGCACACCCCACTCAGAACCAAAGCACACTGAGACCCACAGAAAATCTCCCTAAGACTCACAGTACCATACACTGGACCCAATGCACAGACCACTTTAAGCCACAGTACACCCCACTGTGACAAGCAACAAACCTTATTTAGATCACTGCACACAACCCTGAAACCTACAGCACAAACTGTGAACCACAGCACACCCCATTCAGACCCAAGCCTCACTGAGAACCAGAGCAAACCTCACTGACACCCTTAGTACCTTTCACTGGACCAGAGCACACCCCTCTTTAAGCCACAGTGCAACCCACAGCAACCAGAAGCACACCTCATTCAGACCACTGCATACATCCCTGAAACCCACCACACAAACCGGAGACCCACAGCACACCCCACACAGACCCAAACCTCATAGAGACCCACAGCAAACCTCACTGAGACACAGCACCATTCACTGGATACAAAGCACACCCCACTTTAAGCCATAGTAAACCCCAGTGTGACCAGCAGCTCACCACGTTGAGACTACTGCACACATCTCTGAAACCCACTGCACAAATCTGAAACCCACAACACATCCCACTCAGACCCAAACCCCACTAAGACTCACAGCAAATTTCACTTAGACCAACAGTACCATTCCCTAAATGCAAAGTACACTCACTTTAAGCCATTGTATACCCCATTGTGAACAGCAGCACACCTCATTGAGACCACTGCACACATCTGTGAAATCCACTGCAACAACTGAGACCCACAGCAAACCTCACTGAGTACACCCCATTGCGACCAGCAGCACACCTCATTGAGAACACCGCACACATCCCTGAAACCCAACACACAAACCAGAGACCCACAGCATACCCACTCAGACACAAACCTCACTGAGACTCAAAGAAAACCTCACTGAGACCTGCAGTATGATTCAGTGGATGTGAAGCATACCCCACTTTAAGTAATCGTACACCCCACTGCAACCAGCAGCATACCTAATTGAGACCACTGCACATATCTCTGAAACCCACTGCACAAATCTGAAACCCACAGAACATCCCATTCAAACCCAAACCCCACTGATCCCCACAGCAAATTTCACTTAGACCCACAGTACCATTCACTGGACACTAAGCACACACCACTTTAAGCTGTTATACACCCCATTGTGACCAGCGGCACACCTCATTGAGACCACTGCACACATCCCGGAAAACCACCACAAAACCTGAGACCCACAGCACACTGAACTCAGACCCAAACCTCACTGAGACCCACAGCAAACATCTCTGAAATCCACCACACCATTCACTGGATGCAAAGCACACCCCACTAAAAGTAATCGTACAACCCACTGAAAACAGCAGCACCTCATTTAGACCACCACACACAACCCTGAAACCTACAGCACAAACTGT